TTTTAAATTATGTACATTTTAAAGTAAATTAAAAAGAATACCAATCAAAAGCATGTTGCGGTTTCCATTGTCAAAAGCTCTCTGCATGACTCGCCGCACTGGACAGGAACTCCAAATGTAAGAGTCATGTCGTGCTCCCGGAAACCTAGCATTGACGTTGAGTATTTTTAAATTTGGGTCACATATCTATAAAAGCATAACAAATACTTATCGCTCGACTTTTATTTAAAATACTTAGCTCACCATTTGAACATTTATCGAGTGATAGCCATGATGGTTCACGTGTGCTTCCTCATGAGTTTTAGGACCCAAAATAGAAACATGCGTACAGTCTACCGCTCCAATAGTTCCTCCAACGAAAGGCGCAGGTGCTGAAGCAAACACTTCCTTGGCAGCTTGACGGTCCACCTGCGTCATAGGGAACTTAACCTCCTCAAAAAATAGTCCACTGTTTATGGCATCAGTTACGCGATGTATACAACGGCTTATAGATGATTGGCTCATTGATATGCCCCACTGTTCCCCTACAGGCCGTTGGTAGCATCCTGTGGCATAGAAGCGTAGTGTACACAAAACCTTCAAAGATAAAAGATTATTTGGGAAATGTTTAGTTATTTGTACAATGATTTTGTGGTGCGGAGCGGAGGGGGAGAGGGTGTGACACCTAAAACCATACCCGTTAGAAAGAGCAGTCAAAACTCCCCTCTCTGACCCCTCTACAGATTACAGGGGGCCCATTTGAAAATGGGTCCATTAGCATTTCAACATGGAAGCCACATCGAAACTTACAAAAAAGTCCATAATTAAAACCGGTTTTATTAATAAACTAGTGCTTGGAAATTTGAAATCTTTGTTTTAAATTAAAGTTTAATCCTTGGAATACACGCGTATGTTAAACTTTTTAGATTCGAGTCACGCGTTTGGGCATCATTGTACAGATAACTAAACCGTAACCAGGAAATTATTGTATACATACTACATATCCAAAATTGCATGCTCTCATTATTTGAAGATTTACCTGTTTTTCCGCCGACATTGAGGTAATCCTTTTACCTTTCAATTGGATTTCAAGCCGCTGGATGAGCTCCATTGCAGTCTCTGGGCCCACACGATATAGCTTCCGGAACTCGGAAGGCGCCAGCTCAAATGGATCGTGAATGTCCCGGAGCAAACACCACTGTGTCCACTGATCCACTGTGGGGGTATTTCTGACTCCATAGTTTCGGTGTAAACTATACGCCACATATTCGAACGCCATTTCTTTTATTTAAATTCACTTTGATTTACTTGCGCGCAAATTCGTTTGGTTAACACAAACTTAACAACACCAAATGAGATGTCGATAACTTAACCATAAACGATTTTCACTTATCGAATATCGATAAGAAAGTACTTATTGAATAGCAAAATCTTTAAAATTATCGTTTAGCTAAATTAGCCACTGCGAATGTCGTTAAAAAGGTTACCGAATCGCACTACTGGACACTCTAATAATTAGAAAGAACAATAGAATAACATTCGACTGGTATAAAAAACCGACAGCATCAGGGAGGCTCATAAATTTCAACTCCAAACATGAGAAAAAAACAATTCTAAATACCGCTAGCAATTTTATAAGAAGAGTTCTCTCCATAAGTGACCAAATTTATCACACGAAGAATATTACCATTACCATAATTAAAGAAATCCTAGGACGAAACGAATTTCCTCGGGGTATGATTAATAAGCTCATACGTAACTACTACGTAAGAAACAATAAGGGGGAAAAAATAAAGAGTTAAATAATAAAGTTTATAAATCGGCGACCCATATTCCAGGATTATCGGAGAGGATTAAACATTCCAAAATGTATGACAAGGAGAACTTTCAACTAGCATTCACTTATGACAACACATTACAGCAGATATATAGCAATACCAAAGACAAAATTCCCAGAAATGAGAAATCTGACGTAGTCTACAAAATACCATGCAATGGCGACGGGTCCCACGTATGCAATATGGTATATGTGTGGACAACAAAATCTAAACTAAAGACAAGGATTTCCGCTCACAAGTCTAATATTAAGTTAAGGAGCAATTCGTCGGACAATAAGACGGCCTTATCATCTCACTGTTAGGAAATGGGACATTATCCTGACTTTGAAAATGTAGCTATCTTGCAAGAAGAGAAAAATTATAATAAGCGATATGTTTTGGAGATGCTACATATCATGAACACCCCTAATAATAAAAGGATGAATTTTAAAACAGACTCCGATAATTGCGCTCACGTGTATCGCAATATAGTTCTCACCCACAGCAACAATCAATAGTGTAGGTGTCAGGTGTTCAGGAAAAAACGAATCGTCGGTCCGATAGCAACATTTCTTTGGACAACAATAATGTATTGTTGGGATGATACATACATACAATTCTTCGTCTTACTGTTCATCGCTTCATGTATTGTTGTTTGTATGTTTTTTGTTTATGATTACTGTATTTTGAATTGTTTACATTTTCATGCTTATACTTATTTTCACCAAGTTTGTTTGTTAATGCCAATTCGCGCATATGTTTAGTCGAAAGTAGAAATTTAAACATAAACATACAGATTCTCGCGGCTAAATAATTTAATACGCTACATCAAAGAATTTTGTCTCTCCAAGGCGATATGTGACCATAACGACTTATACCATATACATATCTCGTAACATTATTGAGTACCACATTGATCTTTACTTAACTTAAACTAATTCATAACACGCCAAGTGCGGTAAAATTAATTGCAAAGCAAGTTTTCGCCGAGTTTCTTGTGGTGTATATGATTCAGAAATTCTTAACCTACGTTAAGTGACATATACATTGCCATACATAACTGCCATTTTACATGGTCAGAACAGCTTAACTTGTTATTTATAATAAAACCCAAGTTCCTAATTTTATCAGTGGTTTTCATAAGCATAACATAAGACTATGCAGCATTTAAACTCAAACCATTTTTCTCAGCCCAACGCAGAATATTAGACAGATCACTATTTACTTCATAACGTAAATCTTCGACAAGGCCGATACGATTGGAAAGGTATAACTGAATATCATCAACATACGCGTACACATTAACATATTTATACACAGAAAACACATCAATGACAAACATTGACATACTAAATAAAAGTGGACCAAGAACTGATCCCTGAAGAACACCCGCATTTATAAATTTGAATTGTGAAGAAGCAATCTCTCCTTTACAGTGTTGCCGTTTTAAACCTTTGTTGGCTAGATTTGTGGTAGCTAAATCTTTTACTTTTTCTTTCCTTGTTTTGGCCACATAAATTTAAAATTGCCCCTAGCCCTTTTTTAGCCCTTTGGATAATTTATTCGTACTTGGCATGAAAAAGTTGTATATTAGCTTAATTTAAACTAAGAAACACTGATATATATACATATATTTACGTATTGTATGTTCCCTACGTTTTTATACATACGCACTGTAAAAGTCTTAGGGCTGTTAACTATAGTTTAAAATACATAAGTTTACGGCCCTTAATATGCTTAATTTGTTAAATGGGCGATCAAGTCGATTGACCGTGTATGTTCTTGTTTTGTGATTGTACCAGCTGCTGGTGCGACTTCAAAAACTACCTCACCACCACAGGGACTCAAATGGTGGTCGGCGAATTACCTGAGTGGTCGACACTCGTCAGTAATCTTCAGAGACAAAACCAGCAAGCCACGTAAAATTAAACAGGGGGTACCACAGGGTGGTGTCCTGTCCCCGCTACTGTTTAATTATTGCATATCAAAGCTTCCTCAGCCACCAGAGGGTGTTAATATAGTTTCGTATGCTGACGATTGTTCGATTATGGCGTCTGGGAATGGAATTGATGACTTGTGCTTAAAAGTAAACGGTTACCTCTCCGAACTTTCTCGCTTCTTCACTGCAAGGAGCCTTGCCCTATCCCCTGCGAAATCCTCGGCAACCCTTTTCACAACCTGAATGAAGGAGGTCAGTCTGCCACTGGGTATTCACGTCGATGACGTAAAAATACCGACGGTGAATAACCCCAAAATACTCGGAGTGACCTTCGACAGTCTGCTCTCCTCTGCGCACGCAACCGCTATTGTCAACAAAGTACAGAGCCGCAACAAGGTCCTCAAGTCGCTATCCGGCAGTAATTGGGGCAATGACAAAGAAACTTTGCTGGAAACATACAAGACAATAGCCCAGCCGGTTTTAAATTATGCAGTACCAGTGTGGTCGCCGGCGACTAGTACGCAGTGGATGAAGCAGCAGACGCAAAACACCGCACTACGGACAGCGTCGGGATGCCTTCTAATGTCGCTTGAACACCACCTACACGACGAGGCGAAATTGTTTCCGATCAAGGGGAACAATACAATGCTCTGCAAAAAGTTCCTTGTTGGGAGCCATAGACGTGGTCACCCAAATGGGCACCTGCTTGCAGAAGAGTCCTCGCCCAGGTACGTCAGAAGGCAGACCCTACGAACTGACGGACGAAGTCGAGAGTAATGAACCTCTGAACAACCTCTGGAACCGTCAGCTTATCCGTAGGCCCAGAACAGCATTCACATATAGACTCCAGACATGTGAATGCCGTTCTAGGCGCACAACCACAGGACATTGACGAGACGGAGCTTCATCTGCCTCGGGAGGCTTGAACCTCAATAGCCCAACTTCGCTCTGGCTACTGCAGCAGGTTAAACTACCCTATCTCGAGGCTGTACGCTTCCTAGGGATGCCGTTAGTCGAACTTGACGACAACGACTGAGATATTAACCGAGTTGGGCGGGGTTGTTGTAGCCGAAACATCAAAAATCGCGAACTAGTTTAGAGAAACCAGATATTGTCCCAAAAATCCCGAAGCTGGCGATATTGGCATAAACATCCCGATGTAGTCCCGAGAACCCCGAAATCATTTCAAAAATTACGAATTGGTTCCAACAATCCCAAAATAGTACCAAAATTCCCGATATATTCCCCGAGAACCACGAACTAGTACCGAAAATCCTAAAAAAATCGAAGTAGGTACGAAGAACCCGGAATAGTCCCGAGAATCCCGCGAAAATCTCCACGATTAAGAATACCAAATTAGTCCCAAAATCTTGAAAATCCCGAAGGAGTCTCGAAAAAAAAGGAGTTCCAAAAATCCAGAAATTGTCTCAAAAATCCCGAAGCTCGCGATATTGGCATAAAAATCCCGATGTAGTCCCGAAAATTCCGAAATCATTTCAAAAATTACGAATTGGTTCCAACAAACCCGAATTAGCCCCAAAAATCACGATAAATTCGCGAGAACCGAAAATCTCGAAGTGGTCCCAAAAATACCAAAGTAGTCCCTAGGATCCCGATGTAGTACCGAGAAACTCGAAGTAGTTTCGAAAAACTCGGAATAGTCTCGAGAATAACCAGAAAATCTCCAAGATCCCTAGATATATCGAATTAGTCCCACAATCCTGAAATCCCCGAAGGAGTCTCGAAAAACCCGAAGGAGTTTCAAAAACTCCGAATTAGTCCAAAAATCCAAAAGTAGTCCCGAAGATACCCATATAATTCCGAGGGCCGCGATAATCTAGAAGTAGGCTTGGAAGAGCCGGAATAGTCCCGAAAATTACGAAATAGTTCAAAACTATCAAATTAGTCCCAAAAACTCCGATATATTCCCGAAAACCCCGAAAATCCCGAAGTAGTCTCGACAAATCCGAAATAGTCCTGAATATCCCGAAAAAATTCCGAAATTGTCCAAAAATCACGATGATTCCCGAGAACCTTGCAAATACCGAAGTAGTAGAAAAATTCTGAATTGGTCACAAAAATCCCGAAATAGCCCCGAGAACCTCGAAAACCTTGAAGTACTCTTTAAAAACCCGAAATAGTTCCAAAAATTCCGAATTAATTTCAAAAATTTTTATTTGGTTGACCAAGCATATCTCTTTTTTTGTTCAACAAATCACAAATTAAATTTATCTTTTATTTGGTCAACAAACCAAATCGCAAATCAATTTATTTATTAACTAGCTTAAACCCGCGGGTTTCACCCCGCGGTTTTATACAAATAGGAAAAATAATTTAATGATGTTAGATTTTATTTCTGTGCCCATTTCGTTTTAGCTCGTAATATTTAAGAGAGTTAAGTTATTTAGGCCGTTTAAAACTATGAAATTATAAAATCTCGTCTGCGCGCTAGGCATACGAAATATATCAATCCCTCTAAGTTTACCTTAAAATGTTTCCAGAAATACGACGCGTGAACGTGTAATCTTCTTGGAGGTGCCACGGCGAGTTTCAATATTTCCAACTCAAATTTAATAACCTGGCCTTCATAAAATACCACTTCTCACTACTATAGCAA